ACACACACACACACACATATATATATATAGATATAAATATATATATATATATATATATATATAACCACTCCTACGACGGGGATATCAGGGAGCTGCGATCTATGGGTTCGATTCCACGATTTCCATAAGTTTTCTGTGATAGCGTGTGGTCGCAGCGCTACTGAGTCCTGGGCACAAGGGAATTCGTGCCTAATAGGTTACAGTTTCGTGATATCCTCGTAGTAGCAAATTGGCTAACCACTCCTACTAAGGGAATATCACAATATATATATATATATATATATACACACATATAATATTATATATATATATCAAAACACACACACACGCAAATGTATATATTTATACAGATATATATATACTAAATATACATATACATATACTTATATATATACATACATACCTACATACATGCACACACACACACACGCACAGATACACAGACACACAGACACAGACACAGACATACAGACACACAGACACAGACACATACACACATACACTACCAACAGCAGTATCTAATATTCATAGGTATATATCGCTAGGCTCACCTTGCGCATGCCAATACCGCAAGCGCTGCCCCATTTGTTGCCTTGATTCCGTCCACGCTTTTAACTCTCCGCTTCGGCCTAGGCTCCAAAAACACACTCTCCGACCACAAAAGCGCTATGGAACGGAAAAGGAATACAGGATTATGACGGTAACTTAGCATGAATCGAAAAAGATAATTGTACAATATGATTGAGTAGAAGCGGAGTGCGATTGAGTAGATGTAGAATGCAACTGAGTAGATGCAGAATGCGATTGAGTGGATGAATAAGGCGGTGATTTGGAACAAGGACAGTTTGGCAGTGAATATAACTAGCTCACAGTCATTTCGTAAAGATAAGGCCCATGAAACCGACCACAGTCCGATTGTCTACAACGCGGTGAAATTCCGAATAGATCAGGACTACTAATACTAGATCACCAATGAGAGCCCCATACAAGCGTATGCATCACGACCCAATACAAAATAGGTGACCTAGTAATAACTACAGATACTCCTGATTCTAACACACTTGTCAAGTATCGAGATGTGATTCAACCTAACTGCCCATGAGGAGGGGGGGGGGGTGGTGTGTTGTGAGAAAGCGTATGGGAGTGTGCTGCAATATCATCCCGACATGCCGGGTACCCTGTGGGACTGTACTCATATTTGCTACACAGATCAATATCAGAATACACTCACAATACATGTGCTGTAGAGCCGCACCGAGGGCTTCCACACACCGCGCGTAAGTGATATACATATATATATTGTGCACAGGACTAGCATTGTTGTGTGAAAGCACATGCCTGATAGTAGTATACATGTGGATAACCTGATGCGTTCAGATATGCGTCTGTATACCAGTGCTAGCTGGGACTCGGCTGTCCATACCTACCTGATTTGGGACACTCTTGCAGACCCTTGGCCATAACAGACAGGGCTTGCTCGGGTCGGTTGGCATCCCACTCCATTCGCACCGCTTCTAACCTGTGCATATATCAATGACAGACAGTAATAGAAATACGTGAGCATACGCACATCATTGATAGTTCAGAAAGAGGGGCAAAGAAGACGGGATAAATACTATATATATTACAAAAGTGAAATGCGAAAGCGACAAAGACATAGGAATGGCGAATAAGAATGGAACTATTAGTATACAGACTGACATTTCGATACACTATAGATGAGCAAAGGCCTAGAACAATGAATGGATGCCATACAACAATGAAATGACTAGGGTTTACGCACATCATTAAATGCATATATATAATATATATATATATATATACATATACACACACACATACACACACACACACACACATG